TTTCTTGTATACAGCATATTGTTGGATTTTGTTTCCTAATCCACTGTGCCAGTCTATTTCTCTTAATTAGTGAAATGAGTCTATTTACATTGATGGTTATAATTGAGATGTATTAATTATAATTAACATGTTACTTAACTGTTGTCGTTTACTCCTTTTTCTCCTGTGTTTACCTGCTTGCCCTATTTAGTTGGTTGCTTCTGATCTCATTCGTGGAGTTCTGATCATTTTCGTCCCTCAGTAGAACATCTTTCAGTTGCTTGTGTAAGGTTGGCTTTGTCATCATGAAATTCTTTAGTTGTTCTTTGTCATGGAAGTATTTCACTTCTCCATCAAACTTTAAAGAGAGTTTTACAGGGTGTAGTAGTCTGGGCTGGAATTTTTTTCATAGAGGACTTGAAGTACTCTGCTCCATGCTCTTCTTGCCTTCGTAGTTTGTGAATAGAAGTCGGCTTTAATTCTGATGGGTTTTCCTTTGAATGTCTTCTGCTTCTTTTCTCTAGCAGCTTTCAGTATATTATTCCTCTGCTGAATTTCTGGGATCTTGACTATTATATGTCTCAGTGTATTTTTAATTGGGTTGAGGTTACTTGGCATTCTCTATGCTTCAGTTACCTGAATGTCAGAATGTTTCCTCATATTTGGGAAGGTTTCTGCTATTATTTCTGCCCATATTTTTTTAATGTCATTTGTATTGACTCCTTCTTTCTCATTGATGCCTATTAGTCTCACATTGTTCATCTTTGCATCAATTTGCAGGTGATGGATTATTTTTTCTTGCATCCTAGTGTAAGAGATCCTTCGTACCTTTTCACTAACTGCACCAGCGTCTTCAAGATCTGAAACTCTTTGTTCACTTTCACTTAAACGGTTTTGCAACCTTGTGATTGAGATTTTAAATTCCTCTATATCTCTTTGACTCTGCTTCATGCGATCTCTTTCCTGTATTGCTCGTTCAAGGAATCCGTCATTTTTCTAATCTCTATTTTTTTTTAATCAATGTATTCTTTAGAAGCAGTTATAAATTCTTTTACTGCAGTGTGTTTTTCAGATTCGGTTTCCTCCCTATGTTTCTGTAGTTGACTCTTTACTTCAAATGCTATGAGTTCTGAGAATTCTTTTTTTATTTTAGAAAATTCCGCTCTGAGTTCCTCTATAACTTTCTGCTGTTTCTCATTTACTATCGACACTATTAATTCGTACATTTGGGGTGAGGTAGTGTCCTCTGCACTTGTTCTGGGTGGGCATTGGGTGTCCTCCATATGTTTCTGCATTTGATTTTTTTACTGCAGATGTTAATAGAGATTTCTTTTTTCATTTCCAATCTGAGTTCCTCTATACCTTTCTGCAGCTGTGTCTTTACTTCAGAAGCCATTGATTCATTGATTTCAGCCCTGTGAGTCCCAATTTGTTCTGCGTTAGTGTCCTCTGCACTTGTTATCGATGGTCTTGGGGTCAGAGATTGCATTTTGCTCCTTCTCCTTTTCATTTTGTGTAGCTCTGTCTTCTGACCTTTTTTGTAGATCTTTGTTGCAGTTATATCCATAGCACCTACTGGAGTTCAGGTTCAGATCTACAAAATTGGGATTTATCCAGTTGTGCCTGGCTTGGGTCTGGCTGCTGTGCTCAGCTCTTTCCTGCTGCTGCCCTTGGGGGTGAACCTATTGTGCTTCTCTGGGAAGATGTTCTGCTCCTGGACTAGCTGAGTGGTTCTGTCCCCTACACTATCTTCAGGGATTGCAGCTGCAAGGTTTCACCCCAGGCCTGTATGCCAGGCCCGATCTGAGTCTGGAGGGAATAAGATAAGAGTAGAGGGGAGAGGCTGCTCTCCCATACACTCACTGGGCCTAGACTAGCACTGGATTCTGGGTGTTCCTGGAATGCGACAGAAATTCCTACTTGGCGGGCGGTGTGGGGGAGGTGCTGCAGAGTTTTAGGGGGCGTCCCAATTGGGTGGAAGAGGGTCTTACCCACGCTGCGCCTGGGCTGGGACCGCCGGCGCAGTGTACCCAGACGCTCTCCCACACACTCACCGGTCTTGGCTAGGACTGAATCTCTTTTCTTTTCAGTTTACTTCTGCAAACATGAAGAGTAAGCCAGGAGACTGAAAATTCAAATTCATAAAAATTAGAAAAATTTGTTCTTTATAGCGATATTTCCCCATGTGAAACATTTGGTTTAGTTGTATCAAAGAAACTGATTTTAAATTCTAAAATGACTTGTTGAAATTGATGATTTGTCTTACTTAGAGAACCTGTAGGAACTAAGTATTTTTTCACTTGTCAAATAATTGCTACTGTTTTCTTGTTTTTTAAAAGTAATTATTACCTACTGAACTTCAGTTGATTTTTCCTCATTGTTTCAGATCAAAGACCAAGTGAAATTATTAGAGAGCACCAAATGGAAAATTTTTCCAAATACTCATCTCTACAGGTATGTAAATTGACTAAAACCTAACAACTAGATTTGCATTTAGTTGTAATTGATTAAAGCCTAACAACTAGATTTAGGTTTAGTTTTAAGTACAATACATGTACCTCAGTGTGAAATTTCCATGTAATGTTGCACATAATACTTTGAAATTTTGCTTATAACATCAATTGTTGTGTGAAGAGAACATGTTTTTGCTTAATAAAAGTGAGTTCGTGGTCCATAGAAACTGCTTTTTTACCCCCAGAGTTGAAACTGATATATATGATGTTGAAATGTCTGAGTCCTAATATAAGAATATGTTGGGCTGGGTAGATAGCGCAGTAGAAAAAGTGCCTGCTGGCAAGCAAGGGGTCCTGAGTTCAATCCCCAATACTGAAAAAAAAAAAAAAAAAAAAAGAATATGTTCAAGTTTTGAAAACTCCTTAAATTGTTTCTCAGGATGCATCTAGTTGCATGCTGTAGCTCTTAGTTCTCATAAATTATGAAAGAAACATAAAGTAACTCAAATAGTAAATAATGTATAACATTATTTTAATACTTCAATTTTGGATTAAAAAAATTTAAGCAACACAGTGTATTGATGAGGCCTGCATTATCAAATGGTAAAAGAAAAATAATAGATTCTAGAATATTAATAATGCTTTACTGAAGAAATCAGGACTGGTTTGCCTTGGATAATTAAAATCTTATAATTAGAAATTCTTACAGTACAAAAATGAGCATATTGGTTTTGAAGTATTTAAAAGGACTAGTTTATTGTTTGCTTGAGTATGCTTATTATAGCCTATTGCTTTGTATTTTGATTTCCAAACATGACTCAGAGTCCAGAGGCTCTTATAGCTACCTTCTACTATTCACTGTGATTACCACAGTGATTATTTTTCTTATATTTGAATAGTGATCTAAGAATTATAGTTATAGTTAAATAGCTTCATAAGTTGTGCTCATTTTGTTGTGCTTTTTGCTTGTGCTGAATATGTCTGAAAGGAAAATTCAAATGAAATAAATTTTTTTTAAAAACCCTACAATATCTCAGGGTGCAGGATTGTAGTGTATCTGTTGGCAGCTGGCTGACTTGATTATGAAAGATAGTTTTACCAGTAACAGCAATAACTCTGAACAGCCCTCAGAATGGAATGGATAAATGTAAAGCATAATGTGAAAGACGTCTGAACAGTTCTGAGAGGAAACACAATCATTTATTCAAGAAATATTAATTTGTTTACTTTCATGAACTTTGAGCACATGACTGTGCTAGGCCTACTCTGAGAGCAGAGCAATGAAAAGTGTAGGCGAAGGAAAAAATATGAAAAATTAAGTAATTGAAATTACAAAATACTACAAAAAAGAAAACCAGTCTTCTGATATGATTATTGGAGATGGTATGATGACAGAGACTGAGTTTTGGCAGAAAGGTCAGAGACGACCTTTCAGGCTAAGACAGAAAGTGAAAAATGAGCCAAAGAATGGACCAAGATGCCTTAGGCAGGAAAGAATTTGGCATGTCTTATACAATGAGTAGGAGTTGGTTTCAACTGTGAACAAATAATTATTATATGAAAATTACATTGAGAATTAATAAGACTCAGTAGGTAAAATATAATAATATAGCTGTACACGGAGTTGAATTAGATTGCTAGCTTTCTGGGCCATTTCTGTCCAGATAGACTTTCTCTGACGATAGCAATGTGTAATTATACACTTTTGGGGAGATCGCTTAGCAGTCTAAGCACCTGCCTGGCAAGAGGGGTTTGATCTCCCATACCACATGCGCCAGCCACCCAAACTGGGCATGGTGGTGCACACCTATAATCCCAGTGCCAGGGAAGCTGAGATAGGAGGATCACAAGTCTGAGCTGTGTAGCGAAACCCTGTGACAAATAAATAAATAATAATTCTTCACTACCCAGTATGATAACCAGTAGACACATCATCCCGTGATGTTAGGATATTGATAATTTTATACTTTTTTGCAGAGTCCGCCTGAAAGTTTAGAAATTTGTTATGCTGTATATCAACTTCTGTTGATAGATTATGAAAATCAGTCTCCTCAGGATGTGAATGAAAGGCTTAAGGGATTTGCTGAAACCTACTTGCAAAACATCTTCACATAATGTTAGTCTATATTTTCTTCCAAAAAATGGAATAGAAAATATGCTATTTGCATATCTAATAGACAATACTGACTAGAACAAGAATCAAATAATAAACATTCATATTTTTAATTAGAATAGTGTATAATTTTGTTAGTGGTACAAAGTTTCCAGGGAACTTACTAACTATAACCCATTATTTTGACCTGTGGGGTGTGTGCATGTGTGCGTGTGTGTGTGTGTGTGTGTGTGTGTGTGTGTGTGTTATACCATCATCTTAGGAAATCATCTTAACATCAAAGATAGATAGATATTAATTATACAGGACCACATATTTTTATAACTCGAGGTATATAAAATTCTGTAAATGTTTCTTCATTTTGCATCATTTGTCAATATTTAACAAATATAAAGAAGATATTTATCAATACTTTCATAATCTGTTTTTGATTTTTTCAACTATATCTTGAGTTATTAAACAATGGAGGCTTTTTCTTTTTAAGTTTCACTAGCAAATGGGAAGGCATTACCAAGTCTGCATTTTGCTTTTCTGAAGATCTGATTGTCTGTTGCTTAACTCACTATGTTTCCTTTCAAAATCTTAGAAATTTGAATTGTTTGATCGTTCTGTTTTAGGTTTGTATTGCTTGAATAGTTCTTGAGCATTGTTTCTGGTATTTTTTAATTAATTTTATTGAGAAACAAATAGCAATGAGACAGTTTCAAAACCAATTAGTAGGACAGTTTCAATAATTAATACATTGCATATTGTTGTCTTCGTAGTGGTTATTCATAGTGCAAGATGCAGACATGATATCTTATCTAAACACTATTAGTTCAAAACTTTCTTTTCATTGAACTAAGAGAAAATAACTGTGTATCTATGCTAACTATTTTGTATATACAGATACAAAATGGTCCTTCCTTTGTGTCCTCTTTTTTGTTTAGTTTTGTCAGAGATGGGTACTCCATTGCCATGCAAATATTGTAGGTGCATGAATTCAGCCTAATAATCCAATACAGTCCAGTAGTCCACAATAGTAGTGGGTTATCCACAGGACTGGCAATGTCCGAATCTGATGACTTGAGCCTTTTACACCTCAGCATATTAATATGGCTTTACTTTTTATCCCTCGTTTTTATACTTTTCTGCTGGATGTTTAAGACCAAGATAAAGCAAGTCCTATATAACAAGAAATATAGCTTCTATATCTGATGAGGTCAGCCAAATCCCCTCAAGATTTACCCTGAAACCCTGTGCCACCGTTTGTAGATCCTTTGTCAGTATCAACCATGTGGATGAGTCACGGCCATTGCTTGACCAGTTTTCTCTCTGTGAAAGCCTGGAAATTGTCTATTATATTTATTAAATACTACTTTTATGCAAGGAACTATGCCAGATAATTTAGTAATATGACGATAAATAACTGTCTTGGTTAGCGTCCTCTCATTGCTGGGACAAATACCCGACACTCAAAATGAAGGAAGACAAGGTTTATTTAGCTCACAGTTACTAGAGGTTTCAGCCCATACGAGGCTGGCTCCAAGGCAGAGTGGCATGGAGAGGAGAGCATCCATTCATGGCGACAGCAAAGAGCAGAGAGCACAAGAGTGAGAAGTAGCGGCAGCAATGGCAACAGAGAGCAAGTCTGTCTCCCTCACGTTGCATTCAGGTTATTTGCCCCAGGCTGGGTGCAGCACTCAAACCAGTAATCCCAGCAGCACTCACATCCCTAATCCCAGTAGATCATGAGTTAATCACAAACTCTAGAAGTCCAACCCATGACTGCATGAGGCTTTGAGTAGACAACTACACTGAAACCATAACAATAAGACTATCATTTTTTAAAATGAGACTGTATCATAAGAACATAAAAATTACAAAAAATATGGAGTAAGACAAATTTTAGACAATCAAGTGCAAGGCATACTATTTGTACCTTAGAAACATTAAAAACCAATCATGTTTATTAAGGGTTCAAAAGAAATAAAGTTGGAACAGTTGGGAAAAGTTTCTCAAGGATCTAGCATATCCAATGGATCTTAAAAATTAAGTAGGATTTCAAAAGAACTTGACTACCAGACAAAAGTGGAAGTGGCAGGACATATTTCAAATGTACCACATAATAAGATGAAGGAGTAAAAAGAACAAGGGCTGTAGTCATGAATAAAAGATAGATTATCTAGACAGAAAGTTAGCAAGGAACAATGAACAAGAACTATCCTTTAGACTAAATCGATTAACACATGTACATGTAACATACCAGTAGCTGCCATACACTGTTTTCAGGTGTACTAGAAGCATTCTTCATAATAGGGCTCAGCCTATCTCAGGCTCTTCTAAACAATTGAAAACATGGAACATTTTCAATCTAACTTATTTTCTTCCTTCCTTTTTCTTCTTTTTTCATTTTCCCTCACCTTCCCTTTCTCCCCTTCCCCTTCCCTCCGCAATTCTTTTCTGATCCTTTTTCTCCTCCTCCTGCTCTTCCTGCTCCTCTTCCTCCTCCTCCTTCTCCTGTCTGTGTGTGTGTGTGTGGAGGGGTGGATTTGAATCCAGGACCTTCACATTGAATTTCTTTCCCATCATACTCCTTTCCAATCAATTTTGAAGACAGGATCTAACACAGTTGCCCAGAGTAAGCTGTAATTTATGATACTCCTTCCCTAGCTCCCAGAGTGCTAGGATTACACATGTGGCAACCCAATGACCAAAGAAATTTTGGAAACCCAGTACTATTCTGATGTCAAATGTCTCTTAAGGACAGTGTAAGACAAGAAAATTTCAGGCCATTTTCTAATGAGAATGGTTAAAAAAAATTAATGAAAATAATTCAACAGTGCATAAAAAGGTTCATACACCATCATTAAATGGGATATCCCTAAAATTCAAGGATAGTTCAGTAT